TTAGTCATGTGCGTAATATATCACGTGCAACCGACTTATCGCGACTAATTTAATTATACTCGGACTAGGTGACTGACCGACTTAGCTCTTATCGCGACTTTATATAGATTGACCGACTTATCGAATTTTTTTAAATAGTAAAAAAAAGGGGCGGAAAATTTTGGCCGAGTTAGGCCAAAACCGACTTATCGAGTTTACATGTGTAAATAGTTTCCAGAAAAAATCGAAAAAGTAAATTCATTTTATATAGAGTAGCAAAATATTATATATATCTTTATCCTATATTTTTTACCGTATCAATAAAGCTGACTCTGGTAGTCGATTAGACATACAAATTCGAAAAGAAAAAATAATATATGAAATGCACGGATTTAGTCAGATCGAATTAATTATTACCCATATCGAGAATATCTGAATTGAGATTATTTACCTCTATATATATGCGTACCTCTTAATAGTCGAATACTGCCTTCCTATCTTGCGTGATCCTATTAATTATAACTATTTTTTCACCTTCTATTACGTGCATATACTTATCCCGGTTTAAAAATTGCATATACTGTTTAGGATTATCGGTGAATATTCCTAGAGTTTTACGTCTGTTATTTTTAGATTTACGAGACATATTTTCATCATATCGGAAAATAAAACATGTTTGTATTGTATGGACATCGATATTTCACATATGATCAAGAATTTTTTCAGATAATTAATATTTAACTCATGAGACAATATCGTGTAACTGATAAATTATAGCGGAGCTAGTTTCACTAAAACGTTAGCGCCCAAAAAGGCACTCAATATTTTATTAAGAAAATATATATAAAGACATATATTTAAAAACATATATTATTATTTTTTTGTTTTGCCGGCACCTGCATTTTCTGTGAAGCCAGATCCTCCAGCATCCCTGAATACCAATTGTAAATGTACCCCTTCTACTGTATGTTCTTCTGGTTGACCCGGATTTTCAAAGACATTACTGAGAGATATTTCTTCGTTATTGACCTTTAAATATGCACCATTTTCTACTTTTTGAACTGATCTATAATTATACAGAATGGTGAAAATGAGATATATATGGAAAACAAAAAGCGGTTCATTATAGAACAATTAGAGAAATCATGTAACTTACAATGTAGTAGATTCACCTTGTTCTTTTTTTAGCGTTTCTTCGTCTATTTTTTTATCTCCCCCGTCATGAACAGCGAGGTAAATTTCATCCAGTCCCACTATGTAAAAAAATATCATTATTTAATCATGTTTTTATCTTTTGTAAAAATACAATCTGTGCATTAATAATGCTAATGGGAGAATTTATTTACCAATTTTAACTGAAAGTTCTCCTTCCATTGTAA